TGTCGTTAACGAGAACAAACACTTTCATTTTCTTTTTAGTTATTTTTTTGGTGCGTTTTTTTTCAGTTTAGCATTTCTAGACGAATGAGTATTAAGATTCCTTAGAGCGATTTTGTTGGGTTCTGGCAACTTTTTTACGAGTAATCTTCTTGCTTGCTTTAAGAACAATTAGAGATTAAGAAAAATGTTGGATTTAGAAAAAGAATTACAATTCAAATTGGAGCGAAGTTGGTGAACACTAAAATTAACCTTAAAATAAAGTGAACTGATCATGAAAACAAACTGAACGTATCCCTAAACTGAACTTTTCCCCAAAAAAAATAACAGGATTCCTCCTGCAATATAAACTAAACAAATCCCAAAGATGAACTGAATGTATCCAAATAAACACGAGCTTATCCAAAATAACACTGAACATATACATAAAAAGTGAACTGAACGTATCCTAAAATAAGTGAATGTTTCTTAAAAATTAACTGAAATAATCCTTAAAAATAAACTAAATGTTTCCCAATTGAAAACTTATCCAAAATAACACTGAACACATCCAATAAAAGTGAACTGAACGTATCCCAAAAATGAATAAATTAATCTAAAAAAATCATCTGAATTTATCATTTAACAAAAACTAAACATGTCCCAATAGAAAGCTGTTATTTTTCTTAACCAAACTTAACGTAGCCAAAAATTGAGTTGATCTTATCCTTAAAATGAAACTGAACTTATCCTTTAAAAACGAAACTTTTATCCAAATTAAAAGAATCAATATAAATTGAATCTAACCTTAATCTTGAACTGAATTTATCCCAAAATAAGATTTTAACCTCAAAGTTTCAAAAAAATCTTATCCTCACAAGGGTTAAGCGTGTGTCAGACTTCCTCATTTGCTTCATTTTTTTTTTCTTGTTCATATTTTCCCTTACTATTCATATTCATTCGCAGAATATTTAATGTTGTGTTGTTTCTCCCCGAGCGTTTTTCGACCTTATCTTGATTGTCCTCATTTGTTACACATTCGCACTTTTTTTTAGCTCAGCATTGGATTTTCATTGTTCGATACAATATTTTTTACTCTGTATTAAAATTGATGAGCTTCGATGAAACATTTGAGGGAAAAGAGTGGAAATGATAACAATCTTTAGTTTATGAGTGGGATGAGATCAGTTTAACAAACGTTGTGGATTTAGTTGAGTTAAAAATGGTTTTGATTTATTTATCACAAATGGGATATGTTCAGTTCAATGATTAAAAAATAAGTTCAAATAAAACAAAATATGGATGAGTCTAGTTCAGTCAATCAAGAATAAGTTCAGTTAAGCATAAAGAGGATTAGTTCAGTCCTCTGCAGTAATTTTGCTGGATTATTGAATTGAAAAGGGAAAGGGACAAGTCCAGTTAAAATGGAAATGGGATAAGTTCAGTTCACAATCTAAAAAAGTTAAATTCAGTCAAAGAAACTTAGGATAAGTTCAATTGAGAAATCTTATCAAAAACAACTTTATAATAGAAAATTTCCATAATAATTCTTCGAGTCTTATTCAAAATACTCAAGAAAAGTCAATCAACTTTCAACAACATCCTCAACTATTTCTCGTACACTTTCTCCTATCACGATCTTAACATTCAGCACAAAATAGCATGAACTACTCCAGAAATCTCTCAACAACCCTGAACACCACTCGGAACCCATTAAACTTTTGTGTATCTGTTAACATTTGAATCATTTTTTTCCCCTTTCTTTTACTTGAAAAAACTTTTTCTTTCCTTTTTTCGTCATTTTCGTTCCTTTTATGTTGCTGATATCTCACGTAGCAATAAAATAGTCAAGAAGAAGCATTTTTTGTTTGAGAAGCTCACCAATACATACAAAAAGATATAAATACACACAAAAAATGAGAGAAAATGTGAAAACTACGTGCTACATTTAATCATTGTCGTCTTTATGGCATATAAAAATGTTGGATTACGGCAATAGAAATAAGGTCTAAGTAAGAAGAGCCCAGGAAAGCGCAAAAATGAAGAAAATAAAAGCTAAAAAAGTTTGCACGAAAAAAAGATGCAAATAAATGTAGAGAAGAAAAAGGCGGTGTGGAATGGGCTGGGGAAGTAATGATTTAGGGCAGTAATGGACAACCCGTGTGTCGTGAAACAATTGAGGAATTCTCACGAACCGTATGATGTGTACGGTTTTTGTCATGGCTTGCCATCAAGTGTAACGTGGTTCAAAAAAGGTTGGACACCACTGATTTAGGGCGTAGGAATAAAGAAAGAAGAAATATTGACCAGTTTTAAGAATTGTCTAAAACGATACAACTCAATTGTTTAATTGTCCCATGCTGAACTAAACTTGTCCTATTTTAGACTGAACTTATCCAACTTTTAAGTGAACTTATCCAGTTATAAAGTGAACTTATTCAGTTATAAAGTGAACTTATCCTTTTTTAAACTGAAAATTATTAAATTTTCATTTACCTTAATCCATTTTGAACTAAATTTATCCCATTTTAAACTGATCTTGTTCATTTTGAACTAAACTTGTCCATTTTTGAAATGAACTTGTTAATTTTGAAACTGGACCTATTCAATCATCACCATAATAATTCTTTGGATAGAAACTTGAACAAATTGGCTTAACTATCCGAAAAAGAGAATCCAAAAGCTCAACAAAAGGCAAACTTTTTACTCCATAGAAAACTTCCGCTAGAAAATTGATAAGGAATAAAAATGAAAAATAAGCAGCCGTCAAGTTTCTCCGTCTATGTAAAAGAAGCACAAATGAGAGGAAAGAAAAGTTGATGAAGAAAGGAAGGCGAAGCTTATGAAATGAGACATGGGTAAGAAGATGAACAGAATGAATAAAAAAGTCATTATTTTGCACAGAGAGAAAGAAAAATATATTTTCTTTCCTTTTTTTGTCACCGATAAGAGAGTCGAGCTGGAAAATGAAATAAAACGAAAAAGGAATTCAAAATTGTTTTTGAAATGGGCCAAGAAAGAGCAAGTGTACGATTTAAGGAGAAAGTATGAAAATTCTTCTCGAAGAACTCGTTCAGTTCAAAATTTGATAAGTTTAGTGTAAAAAGAAATGTTTAAATTAAAAACAGAATAAGTACAGCTTTTAAGGATAGGCTCAGTTCAAAATCTGATAAGTTTAGATTAAGAAGGGTTGAGTTCATTTTAAAATGTAATAGGTTCAGTTGCAAAATGGGATGAGTTCAGTTTAAAATGTAAAAGGTTCAGTTGCAAAATGGGATGAGTTCAGTTACAACACAGAAATTTTTTTTAAAATTGAATAAATTCAGTTACACATAATTTTTTTTGGGAAAATGTAGGATGAGTTCAGTTGAAGGTTGGATAAGTTCAGTTTCTTGATAATATTTAAAATTTGTCTACCGGAAAAATTGCTTTGCTCTTACTTGCCCTCAATTTTCTTCATTTTTTCATTCTACAAAATAAAAGCAAGTAAAGAAAGGAAAAACTTCCCAAAAGTAAAATTGAAAGGCAATGCTGACTAAGCCTTCAGATGAAAAATGACCAAATATTTTCGAGATACAAAAAAAAAGTTGGCCAAAAAGCAATTTTAAATGAAAAATTTCCCCATTCAAGCTACAAAATGACAAACACGTACGAATAAACCTCCTTTTTTGTCCTTGAAATATTTTTATTGTTGTTTTGTTAAATTTCATGGAACATCTCAGTTTGTCATTACCGCTGCCATGACAGTATAAAGTTTTGAGTTTAATTATCCACAAAAAAAATTAATTTAACCGAAGGAGATGAAGAAAAATGAGTGAAAACAGACGAGAATAGCAAGAAGAAGATAATGAGCAGAGACAAAATGTCATGGTGACAAGTTGCAGATTGTGGATGGAGAGCAAGCATGGGAGGCACAATATCTCATTTTTTTTTTGTTGAGAATAATTTCTTCTTTGTGCTCTCAAAACTTTGAAAATTGTGTATTAAGTAATGAAATCTGAGAGCAAATAAGACAGAATTCATCAAGCCTTGTGTTTACTTTTGTAACTTCAAACCTTCAGATATTTTCTAATTGGATTGCTATTTTTAGAATTGACTGAATTATGAGATTGATTGAGGTTGCAGAAAGTACTGGTTTCATTCTGCAAGATGCTTTGTAAATCTTTAATAACTTGGTTTAAAGGGGCAACTGATGATTAGCTCAGGTTTAGCGTAACTAAAAGTCTGGTCAGGTCGAGCGTAACTGAAGATCGATCAGGTCGAGCGTAACTGAAGATCAGGTCAGGTCAAGCGAAATTGAAGATTAGCCAAGGTCAAGCGTAACTGAAGATCAGGTCAGGTCGAGCGTAACTGAAGATCAGCTCAGGTTGAGCGTAACTGAAGATCAGCTCAGATCAAGTGTAACTGCAGATCAGCTTTAGTCAAGCGTAACCAAAGATCAGCAAGCATTACTTAAGATCAAATCAGGTTCAAAAGAGCTCAAAATCATCTCAAATTGAGCCTTTCCCAAAAAATCAAAAAATGTATAAAAATACCAAATCATTCAACTCATTTTACAAATTATCTCTTGGATCATTTAAAGTCTTCTAACCTCTTAAAAAAATTTGCTAGCTACAAAATGCAAATATGCTCAAAGCTAATAGACTACAAGAACGAATGAGAAACTTTCTCACAAAACAGAAGCTAGAAAAACTTCTCACATCCGAGCAGATAAGGCAAAAAAAAATTAAATCGAATAAAAAAATTTCAAACTTTATTTCTTCTCTTTTATTAGATCGGAAATTGAAAAAGCATACAAAATTGAATTGTAGATAAAGTTTTTTAAGTAAATTTGGAATTTAAGGGTATGATATAGAGTGGATTAAGAAGGTTTATTGGAGGATTTGTATTTTTATAATTTTTATGTTGTGTTATTTTAAAGTTAGGGATCTCATTTTAAAGGATGTGGACCCCCTGTTTAAGTATGAGGACCTGCTACAATTGCTATAGATGCATGATGATCATAAATTACAAAATATTGTAATTTACGCAAAAAATTTAAGTGAAATTGCAGCAAGAAGCCCAATAATCATTAAGCTTCCACTTTTTTCAGCACTTCCATTTGGCTCAGTGCTTCCATTTTGCTCAACATTGTAATTTTGTTCAGTGCCAACACTTTTTGAGTTCCAATCTTCCTCAGAATCGGTGAATTTTCTGTCAGATTCATCTTCATGTTCCTGTAAATTATCATCAAGTTCCGACTCTTCACTAGCTATATCAGTAACCACAGCGCAATGTTCCTTAACATTTTCAATCGCTGTTGATATTTCACTTCTCGAATTATATTCAGAATTTATGCAGTCATTGCCTTTGAACCAAAATCTTGACAATTGATGCAAATTATCAAAAATATTCCCATAAATGTGCTTAATTCCATTGTAAGGAAAAGCAATGACTTGCAATTTTGGATTGTGATCAAAAAGTCCTGTTTCTAAAGTTTCAATGCTATTATGACCCAAATAAAGCACAACAAGATCTGGGAATGGCTTCAAATCAGACTCGTGGATCTCAACCATTCCAACTCTATAGAAGTCGATGACTTTGAGACTTTTGAAGATTTTTTCCATGCTTTGTGGGAAATATTTAAAAGTTTTGCCTTCAGCACGAATGCCAAAAACGGTTACGTCAGAGTTTAAGTTTCTGTGGAGTCCTTTAAACGCTGTTATTGTAGCTGACTCTTTTGTTTCTATGTTTGGGTCATTTTCAACTTCACATTGGTAAATGTATCCTAAAATGCCCTGATAATTTCCATTTTCACCATAGCCACAGTTGATCTCAGTCGATGATGATAAGTTGCATATTGTGAGGAAAAAACTGACGAAGATACTGAATTAAGGTTTATTAATGGATTTTAAAAATAAAGTAAAATTAGTTTTAAGGGTGCATAAGAAGGATGTTATTGTCCTTGAGGCACAACCCATCAGATTCTATTGTACCCGTTGGAAAATACAGCTTAAAACTAAGTCTGAACAATTTGCAAGCTCTGCAATCTAAAAAGACCCGAGGATGTCTTAACAGGATCCTGCAATGTACTTAGTCATAAGAGTAATTAAGATGCTGTATAGAAGTCATCCAGATGCAAGTCTATCCTATACAAACCTGGCAAATGAGACTTATTATGTGCCAAAGTCTTTAATGTTGCACTTAAAACATGAACGATGCACCGTGACCAGATTAGGAAAAAAATAACGAGCTTTGAGTCCAAACAAGAGCAGAATTAACGAAGAGTTGGCAGGATTTTGCTCCACTTTGTCACAGTCCTTACTAATCTATACTAAGTCAGATTGTCTATAGATTTTTAAAACAAATATCCAGTGAGATCCAGGTGACTTCCAATGACTAAATTAAAGTTACACGACGATCAAGTAGGACTGAAGTTACGCACGGAACTATTCTATTTAAGCTTCTTAATGCCATTTCACCAAACAAAACTTAAACTTACATTAAATATTTTCCCATAATTTTTAATAAACTTTCAAACTTCAAAATGAGATTTTAATAAATTTGCTTCTAAGCAGCTGAATAATTCATATAAAACTGAGAGCAAAGAATCATTTACTTTTAATTAAATAAAACGAGAAATTGATAAAGAAAAGAAAAAAAAATAATAATTTCAAGTTTATGCGACAATTCAATTAATCGCTTTCAGCGAGGGCACGATAAGGTTTTAAAAATCGAAAACAAACATAAAAATTACTGAGAATTATTTCAATGATTTTTTAAACGTTCTGAGATGATTATTGGAAGTAAATAATAATGCAGTATGAAATCACATTTTGTATTTAACAATATTATTGCAATCTAGATATCCAGTTCCAATTTACTAGGTCAAACTTATTAAATCTTGAGATAGGAATTATGTTTTGCATTAATCACATGCTACTTACAATTCAAGATCTGCATACGTCTTTATTGGACCTCATCGAAAGCCTCAACCACGCTTTTGCTTTTAGCCAAATACATAAAAGCTATCAATGTGGTAATAATGAAGTCAATTGAATCTCAACTTATATTAAGGGATCATTTTAATAGAAATCCAGCTGCAACCTGCCCTAAAATCAATTTACCACACATGAAAAAACACAAAATTGATTGTAATTTTGCTGTTTATCACTTCCAGGAGCCCTAGAAGGCGTTGCTGACATAAGCAAAAATGGCGACAAAATTATTTCTTGAAGTGCCAATTTACAAAAACTCTAAAGTCCTGTCATTTTAGTGCTAGCGAAAGCGGTGAAATAGCATCAGTGGCCTAAATAGTAAAGCGTTGGTATTACTTGCCAAAGGTCCTGGGTTCAATCCCAGGCCAGGCCTAATTTTCGAAGCTCTTTTTCCATTTCACCATTCTAGTTACGAAGCTCGGTTCGTGTGTTGGGTGTAGTATTGATGTCTTTGGCATAGAATATGCCTCCTTTGCTAGGTATACAAGGATATACTAGCATCTAGATGACGTCTTCACGGCATCTTGCGCACACGAATTGTGACTAGGTACATTGCAGGGTACATCAGGTCTTATGACGTACTCGTGTCTTTGCAATGTACAGAGCTTGCAAGTGGTTCGGACCTACTATAAACTGTAGGTCTAAAGGGTGTGGTTCAATAGATTCTGTTTTAATTTGAATCGCAGTGCCTCCAGCTAAAAGGCTGTGCCCTTCACACATTATTATTATTATTATGCTAGCTAATATAAAACATCATTCATCAAAATTTCTCGAAAAATTCCAATTCCTACCAATCAAATTTCTCAAAAAGCACCCAAAAAGCCATGAAAAATGACTTTTCATTCCAACTCCACAGCATATGACGCAAAATCTCCTCATCTTCATTTAAAATTCAGGGCTTTAAGATGAAATGAAAAATCAGAGCAAAGAAGGAACAAAAAAAAATCTGAGAATTGAAAAATGTTCTCGAATGCTCTCCCGAGATGCTCTCGCTTTGTTATGCTGAGTATATTTTTTTGTACAAGAATTGTTAGTGTTTGTATGCGAGACTTATTATGAAAATTAATGATCAACCAGATGGAATAAAGTTATGAAAAATTGAGGATTCTTTTTTTTGTGGGTTGAAAAAGGTTTTGTTGTTGTTGTTATGGAAAAAGGATGGATATTTTGGAAATTTGAGTGAGATGTGATATTGGTGTGGGTGGTAGACAGTATTAAGGCGAATATTCATAGAGTTAAAGCTGATTTTCAACTGATTTTTAATCGGATTGTTGAAATTTGAATAAGTTTTAAGGCAACGGATGTCAATTTTGCTTAAAATTGAATGGATTTGGATGCTTGCATGTTTAAACCGTTTAAATCTACAGAGTTCGTATATTGATTAGCGGTAGAGGTCTTATAAAATATTTCTAAAGGGGACCATTCAAAAATTATTCGTTAAAACTCCGTAGAAAATTGGTTGAAATTCCATCGAAGGGAACCCGAGCGACAAAAAGTTTATATTAACATGATGGCGACACAATGTTGAGTTTCTTTGTTCGTATGACTACCTTATGACTCGTGAGTCGACATAAGTAACAAGTCAGACTAGCGGATTGAGAAATTCAACAATTTTTCACCTTCTTGTCAACATAAACTTTTTGTCGCTCAGGACAAGCTGACCATAAGCTGGGATTTCAAAGAATCCATTCAGTCTTGTATGTTTCTGATTCGTCTAGAAGTTTTATCACTTAATTAATCATTTTTGATCACACCGTAAGCCATGGAATACTCAACATTACACAACAAATAAATCAGAGCACCACAAACCATAGTTTGAGAAGCACTGCTTATATAGCAATCATAAAAAACCACCGAAAGCAAAAAGCTGCAAAATCCAATTCATCATCATCATGATCATCTCTTTGTGAGCTTAACTACCACATTTGTGGTGTAATTTAAACAAAGAAAGTGAATTTCTCTTTGAGATTCAAGAATAATGATGTAAAATGAAAGCTTCAAAGTATGTAAATGAAGATTTTTTCGGATTTACATTTCTATTTATCATTGCATTTCTCATATGTGTTAAAGAGTTTAAAGCTTTTTCGTATTTAAATGAATTTTAAAGAGAGATTTTGTCTAGATTTGAGAGTCATAATGGAAGGATATCAAGATTTTAGCAACACAGAGACATATGAATAGTAATGCAAGCGTAAAAAAAATCAGGATGAACGATATCAAGGCTTGAACAAATGGATTAGATCACTACTTTCATAGAAAGCCTTTAGCAGAGGTGCAGTCAAGTTTTGAGAACCCTCGACAAACTCTAAAACATGGATGCTACACATTAAACTACAAATTCACAGTAACAACCTCAAAATCATCTTTTCTGAATTCCACTGATTGCATTTTCAATAAAAACAGCATTTTTTTTCTTCTCATCATGCCTTGAAGCTCAACGATAAATAAAAGTAAACTTTTACATTTTCAATTCATTTTTTTTTTACTTCAATCTTTATGTATAGCTTGTGTGCGACTCAATTTCCTCTCTTCTTTTATTTACAATTTAATATCCTGGGAAATGAAAAGTACTTACTTGTAGCAAGCAGATTTGATTCACAGTAATGTCGATTGATGAAAAGATTGAATGAAATTGTGAACGGGAAAAGGAGAAGATTTTTTTTTAAAGCTGGAAGAATTTTTTTTTTCTTTTTCTTCGTTAAAATGTGATTTTTTTATATTGAATAAAATTTGTTGTTGTTGAGTTTAGTTTGCATTTCTTTTTTTGATTAAAATGATGAATTTATTCACTGTGAAATGAGATTTTTTTGTGTTTTTTGAAGTTGAAACATTAGACTCAATTCTAATGAGGATAGGATAAGTAAATCTAGGAATCTGGTTCTTAAATTAATTATTCCTTATTTTGCACATTTGCAATATTATTTGAATTTTTTAAAATTGTTTGAATTTTTTAAAATTATTTGAATTTTCTAAAATTATTTGAATTTTTTAAAATTATTTGAATTTTTGAAAATTATTTGAATTTTTTAAAATTTATTGAATTTTTTAAAATTTTTGAATTTTCTAAAATTAATTGAATTTTTTAAAATTATTTGAATTTTCTAAAATTATTTGAATTTTTTAAAATTATTTGAATTTTTGAAAATTATTTGAATTTTTTAAAATTTATTGAATTTTTTAAAATTTTTGAATTTTCTAAAATTAATTGAATTTTTTAAAATTATTTGAATTTTCTAAAATTATTTGAATTTTTTAAAATTATTTGAATTTTTGAAAATTATTTGAATTTTTTAAAATTTATTGAATTTTTTAAAATTAATTGAATTTTTCAAAAATTATTTTGAATTATTTTTAAATTTTTTTAAATCTTTTATAAATTTAATTTAAATTGTAAAATTTTTTTTTAATATTTGAAGTTCAACATTATAAATTCAACATTATTACTTTAATTTTTAAAAAAGTCCTCACATCCTAGACTAGACACCCCTCATCCATTCCTCATTACCTTTCAATCATTCTCATTTCTTACATTTTATATAATTTTCACTTCCTTTTGCAATTTTCACTTTAACATTTTTTTCTTTCAGAAATAAATTTATTTTTATTTTTTTGAATTTCCTTTTGAAATAATTTTTTTCTACACTTCCGAATTTTCTTTTTTCTTTTCTTTTCTTATCACGAACTCACATTTTTTTCTTTTGTGCAATTTTCCTTTTTTTTTTGCTATTCTTTGAGAAACTAAGAAATTACTTCAAATGATGAACGAACATTTATTTTAATGGTTTCAAATGAATTTTATGTTTTCGGTCTTTGCAAGCTTTGTATTATTAATGCAGACACTCAATTTGTTGAATTTTATTGGTGCTCAATTTGTGGGAGTCTGAAAAGATATTGAAAGAATTTGATATTTTTAGATTATAAAATTAAACTTTAAATTAAGAAAAAAATATAACAATGTTAAGTGTGCTCATTTGTACTTAAATGTTGGTCCGGCACCAAATTTAAGTTTTCCTCAAACTTATAAGCAACTTGGCTTATAATTTATCCAAAAAACGTTATTAAAATGCAACTTTAATCTTATATGCGCCATATTCTAGTAAAGACATTAAAGTATTCCCAAAATATACAGCACAAACTTAATTTTCATCTTCTACCTCTATTCAATCTCATCTTAAATCGCTTAATCCCAAAGAGCTACACCCAACCACCATTCGCTAACATACCTCCACACACGGAAGTAAATTAAAGAAACATTTTTGACAAGAAAAAGTAATCAATTGACTCAAAGTTCAACGTGATGTTGCCACTTTCTCTATAAACATGATCCGCTTCCAATATTTCATATTTTCAATATCAATTTCACTGAATATTGCTCAAATACCTCTGAGATTCGAAACGTGACATCGATATTGATACCTTTTATTGGATATTGGCTGTAAGGTATTTAATATTCTTAATCGGCATTTTTTGTTTATATTTCAATTCAATTCATAGATGCTATAGTATCATTGCGTCTCTTCAGCTGAGCGTTCCTCAAGCTGAGCTTTATTTAAGCTGTGAGTCTGTTAGGCTAAGCTTCTATCAAGCTGAGCGTTCCTCAAGCTATGAATTATTTTAGCTGGACGTATTTCAAGCTGTGCGTCTTCTATGCTGAGCCCACATCAAGCTAAGGGTTTCTCAAACTGTACGTCCTTTTACCTAATCGTTCCTCAAGCTGTGCATCTCTTAAGCTGTACATTTCTTAAGCTGAGCTTCTATCAAGCTGAGCTTTTTCCAGCCATGTCTGAACTTCATAGTCAACCTTCACAAAAACAAAAAGACTGCGACAAAAATTATTTTTACACCCAAAAAAGCCCACAAAAAAAAAATCTGCGAAAAATCATACAGCAGCAAAAAAATTATATTAAAATTCCATAATTAACAAAGTGCTTACGTTAATGCTTTTTACTCACGACAAATGTGAATGAACGAGAAAAAAATGAAAATATGTGAAATACTAACGAAGCAATTCAGTTAAATGGAATGCATTATGGAATTAAAATTTAAGACTTTTTTTTTTGTTCGTGCTGAAGGCTCAATTAGGCTCAGAGTGGATTTTGTTTGACGTATTAAATAAGGATTTTTGGATGTTTGTTGAGATGTGTTTTGTGAATTTATGAAGGGATTGTTTTAAAGTGTGGTTTGATACCTGGTTTTACCGAATGTTCGGCTTGATTAATACTTAATTTACAAAAATGATCAGCCTTTGCCTGAGCCATAGACGTATTACAGTATCGGTCAATCTGAAGAACGCGTGCCTTTAAAACTCAGCTTCAAGAATGTTCAGCCTTAAGAATTCTTAACTTCAAGAACGCTAGGTTTCAAGAAAGTTGGGCTTTAAGAGCGCTCAGATTCAAGAACACTTAGCTTGAAGAACGCTCAGCTTCGAAACGCTCAGCTTCAAGATCGTTCAGCTTCGAGAATGTTTAGATTCAAGAACGCTCGGCTTCAAGAACGCTTAGCTTCAAAAATCGCCCAGCTTCAAGAACGCCCAGCTTCAAGAACGTCCAGCTTCGAGAACGATCAGCTTTGAAAACGCTCAGCTTGAAAGTTCAGCTTTAAGAACATTTATATTCAAGGACGCTCAGTTTGAACAACAATCAGTGTTCAGCTTAGTTTGCTAAGTTTGAACTGCCGATTACTCCCATTTAAACCATCTGCTTATTCATATACACTAAATGAGATCAAATAACAGTAATCTTCAACAATAATTCAAGTTATTCACATAAATATTTTTATCGCTAGCATTTCACATTCATTTGCATCTCGTGATTTATCACGCGAGCAACAAATTAATGTCTTAATATTATTTTAATGTAGAACAAAGCGTTTAACAAAGAAATGTTATTGTACTTTGATGAAGAAACAGAAAAGATTGAATGAATTAAAGGTGTTGGAAATTGCTAAAATATGCAGTCGCTGTTATTTATTTTCTGATTTGTACATTCGCGAGGAAAAAAGTCAAAATTTTCCATTTTTATTCATCGAATCTGATTGTCAGTCGCAGAATTGATCAAATTAATTTAATTATAACTTTTCAATCAATTTTTTTTTACTCAATTCCTCTTTGACTTATTTGATTGCATGGCTTCATTTCTATTTTTTGTTCATTATCCTGCTTTGTTCACGCTATTGAAAATAGAATTCGAGGATTTTTTTAGGCTTCACTGATTCATTAATGAAAATTAAATTTCCAATTTTTTATGCTGTCTATGCTTTTTCCATTGGATATTCTCTCATGTTGATTTTTTAATGAAATAATATTTACGAAAATTTAAGATTTGATGTGAGTTATTATGGACATTTTGTCGTTTATTTGTCAGTGTGAACGCTGAGCGCAAATTAAATTTAGTAGTGATCAAACTTATTGATACCTAAGCGAGGTCTTAGCTAAACTTAACGTTGTTAAAGCTAAGGTTTACTCAAGCTGAGACTTTACCAATCTGAGCGTTATTTGAGCTGAGCGTCATTCAGATTAAGCGTCATTTAAGCTGGCCACAATTCAAGCTGTGCGTCATTCAAGCTGAACTTAGTTCAAGCTGAGCGTCATTCAAGCTAAGCTTCGTTCAAGCTGAGCGTCATTTCAGCTGAGCTTCATTCAAACTAAGCGGTATTCAAGCTTAGAATTATAATCGTTGAGTATCTTTTAAGCTGAGCGTCACTCGAGCTTAGCAGCACTCTAGCTGAACATTATTAAAGCTGAGCGTAATAAAGCCCGAGTGATGTTCAAGCTGAACGTCACTAAAAATGTTTGCTTTAGCACTATTAAGCGTTTATCAATCTCAGCTTTAGTAAAGGTTTCAAAAAAAGCGTCCTGTAAATCCACATCATTAACATAACCTCAAACTTCTCTTCATATCATATCTTATTTCCAATCACATCAAACTGTCCTTTTCAAGTTACACAGCCCACTTTTATGTCCACATATTTTTTTTTCATTGAAAACTTTTTTAAAAATAGATTGTCATTCCATTCTGCAATTTAAATCGGTCATTTGACTACCCGGAATGGTCGACAATTTGTCACAACATCTTTGCGTGTGTGTGAGTGTTTATGACATTGAAATGGAAATGAAAGGAAAATACTCGCGAACTTGTTTATTTATTTTTGCACTGCCCGTGAGGATTGTTTTTTTTTATTTTGGAAATACAAAACGATTGCACATTTTAATGAAATTGAATTGAATTGGATTTTTTTTTCTTTGTTTTTTTTTTTGGAGAGCGTTAAGCGGAAATTGAAAAATTAATTTAATCAGAATTGTAAACAGGATGGGATGTGTCGGATATTGAATTATTTAAAAATTAATTAATCGGATATGAAAGTAAACATTTGTACTTTTTGGGTGGGTTTTTTGTGTGCAGAAGTTGATTTTTTTTATTCAGTAATTATGAACTTGTTATGATTTTATTAAAAACAGCAAATTAAAAAGTGATGATTAAGAAGAGATTACGTAATAAGGCTGATCCATTGATCTAATTGACTTAAGCGGCATTTTTGCAATGCCTTGCTAATCAGAGGCGTAGCCAAAATTTTGCTTTATGGAAGTTCTGAAACTTTTTTACGGAGAACCTTTGTAAACTTAAAACTATTCATAAACTGGATCATTTTTTCGATTTATGTCTTCGAGGTACTTAACCCTAGACCACATGAATAAGAATAAGAAGTTACTCTATTGAAATTTCAAATTTCTGGAAGCTCGAGAGTTGAGCTGGAAAAGAACCCCGCCATCCTCAATAATTGAACTATTTCAGATTAAGAGAAATTCAGAGGTCTTTCGTAAATTACGTCAAACTTTTAAAAGAAAGGGGCAAGATAATGGTAGCAGTTCAAATAAAAAGGTCAAGTTTGTGTGAAGGGTTGACGGAAGTCCTTAAAAATGTGCAAACAATTTTTTTTAATTTCTAAGAAAAATATCAATTTTAATTTAATTATTGGTTATAGCTTGGCAGCTTTTGATTTTATAACTATGAAAAAACTCAAATTTCACTTCATTTGTTTCCTTTTTTGAGCTATAAACACAAAACTTTAGTTATATACTGGATTTTTGCAGATTTTCGTTAAGTTTTTGAAATTCATATTAAATTGCTAAGATTGCAACTTAAAATTACGAATAACTTTTGTACTCTAACCTAAAAACCCTTTAAAATAGTGAAAGTCAGTGTCCATAAAAGCAAAATTTGCACAAAAGAAATTAAAATTGTCGACAAAAATGTTTAAAAACGAGACGAAAAAAGAGAAAAAATTATCCATTCTTACTTTCACTTTTCCTCCTTTGTTAATTTTCAATTTATATTCCTTGATGAGTCCACAACATAAAGTTGGGAAAGAACAACACGAAAACACATCAAAAAAAACTTTTTTTTTACTTTAATTAAAATTTTCTTTCACAGAAAATAAAAATAAAAACATAAAAAAATAGATTTTCAGCCACAAAAACACAGAAAATTTTTCCTCATTTTTCACACATTTTTCTTCTCACTTTTGTTTCTTCCCTTCAACCATATGTAAAGGTTCTGCTTATTCTTTTGGCATTAGACAGGAGATTAATCACATTATGAGTTGCCAATTTTTTTATATTATATCCTTTGTCTTTCACTTGTCTGCAACAAGTTTCAATAATTTTCGTAGTTTTTTTTTAATTGCAAATTTATTTTTTTTTGATAAACAATTTTAAATTAAAAAAAAATTGGAATTTTTCTTCACAAAATTATTTTGAACTTTTCACATTTTCTTTTACACTTTTTTGAATTTTCTTCAATTTTTAATCAAATTTTGCCACAATTTTGTGATTTATCCGCCCGAAATTCTTCACAATTCGCCATATTTATTATCAATATATGAAAAAAAATTCCTTCCCTTATTTTTCTTTCTTTTTTTTCTTTTTTTCTTTATCAACACAGAGAAGAAAAACTAAGTTTCAACATCGAGGGTTGAATTACACAGCACGAGTGAACTGAACAAATTTTCCTTTCTGTGATTGTGCGAAATAAAAAAAAATAGAAAAATAATCTTACAAAAAATTCTCTCTTGTTGCTGAAATGTTGTTGTAAAAATGAAAAAAAAAAGCTTTGAGATGATGTAAATGAAGCACTTGGTGTGTTTAAAGTCTATTTTTGAGAGGGATGAAGAGGATTTGAGAGAGAAAATTATTTTCGAAAATGAGAGAAAATTTTTATTATTTTTTTGCAAGGATTTTTTCGAAGTCAATAAAAGAGAGCGTTTGAGAGAGTTATGGAGAAAATATTGAAGTCTCTATGATTCTCAGCGCTTGGGATCTTCTGTTGCTGTCTCCAGCATGACGCTGGATTCGATTTACAACCGGCTCCATTCCTTAGTCATACCTGCTTGACATCGGATTTCTGAACTATTAACCAACTTTTGCTATCTGGGCAAACCATTTCATTGATGATATTTCTGTTTTCAGCCAGCATAGGAATGTTGTAAGCTTCATTTTCAGTAAATATTCTATGCCGAATCACGAACACATGGTTGATGTGCAAGGGTGCGTAACTGAAAACTTAGATTTTGCTCATTTTCGATCAATTTTGATCCTTTTGATCAGTTCTACACCTTTGTTAATGTTTCGTCGTTGTAATGATCACTGTGTAAATTTATATTAAAGGTTTAACAGCTCAAACCCTAGGAATTACATTTGGCTATGAAAAAAAAACATCCTTTTAGACTTCAAGACTTGATCATGTTTAAGCTGAACATCTGCTTGGGTTTTCAGAGGACAGTTAACTATAATTTTCAAAAATAAAGTTTTGTTTTGTTTGAATTCGTCTAGAAAACGGATAAAATTGGTAGACACGTGGGATGTCCTCTATTTTACTTTCAGGTCCTCTATTATTTCAAAAAATATCTGCTCACCCTAATCATGTTAGACAATATACATCATAAAAACTGACGGATACTGGCTTAAATCATGTACAAAATTACTATGGGGCCGTTCACTTATGACGTTTGACATTTAGGGGGGGGAGGGGGGTCAAGGATTTTGTAACAGTTCAAACAATGGAATTTTTCCATAGAATTTTTGTGACAGAGGGTTGAAGGGGGGTCTAAAATTCAGGTTTTTTTTGTGGAGTTCATAAGTGAACGACCCGTTTTCAGACGACAGTCTTCACTTTTTCCGACAGCAAAAAACTTCGAAATAATTTAAAAAGAATCAGCTTTAATAGTTTTAATTTTATAATTAAACCAAAAAATTCTTCTTATTGTTCCTACAGATTTTAAATATTTAGAACGAGAAGACTTTTATGGCACAAAATAAAACAAAATTCCTGAAAATTAATCAGCAAATGAAAAAATAGACATTTTCAATGTGAATTGAAGCAAAAAAAACAAAACTGAGCGAAGCCAATGAAATGAAGCATATTGAAAAGTTGTATGAGGATTTACATAAAGTTGAGAATTCAAGCAACAGTAGGAGGGTGTCGCCTCAGCAGGAGCGTGTTGTACAATTTCAAAGAAGCCATTTAAATGAATTGAGTCAATTTTTATGAAATTTAAACAAGCAAATTACAATCAAAATCATAACTGGGTTGGTTTCAAAGCCGTAAGTAAAATATACGACCACCACTGCGCTAAGACAGCTTTATTGTCATTATGCATTTAAGAAACCAGCAACAAAGCTCCCAACTGAATACACTCTTCTCAGGGGCACAAAAAAACAAACTTTTCTTGAACAGCAATTTTAAAAAATTCATAAAAACAAAACGAGATGAAAAAATAATTAAATTTTTTCTCATCTCAACAATTTTCCTCTTTTAAAATTCATTTTCATTTCCTTCCTCGCTTTGAAGAGTCATTTTGCTTATTCAAAGTAAAAGCTGATGAAAATTGAAAGGATTTTGAGATAATCTTGCTGAAGCTTTCTTAACGACTTGAACTGAATGAGCTTTCTTGTACTGAAATTGAATTTTAATTTATTTCCGAGCAGCATATTGAGGTACATTGATGTATTTAGCGAGAGAGAGCTAGCATTCTGTAGTTTAAGTTGTCTCACATCATTTCGAGGATTTTGCTATTAAGGGAGCGACTTAATGGGGACCTGATGACATTGTTTCACAACTCGGGATTACAATTTTTTGCCGGGTTTTTTTAAATATGGAAAAGTTTAAACATTTTAATCAAAAAATTAAATTTAATCCTCAAATTTAATTTTTGAAGTTAGAAAAAGACTCAAGCGTCCAAATTTTGTAATCTTTATCAGGAATAAAATTGAATTGTTTTAAAAAAATGTCAATTTTATTATTTAAAATTAATATTCTTCTTAGAATTGGTCCTTAATTTTATAACTTTTAAATTAGGTCTCCAAATCCTCAATTCACGAAACCTTCTAATTTTATAATAGCAAACTTGTTGCAAAGCCCTCAAAATCTCACCCAGCTACTGTATTTTCACTGACAAAACCCCAACAAAACTTATTTTAATAATCCTAAAACAATTTGCATTAATTTACCATTTCTTATTCATATGCCTTAAACAATGATTTTAATGAAAGACATCTCATTATATTTTGATGCTATTTTAGTTTGATGTTCTAGCAAATTCTCTCCTCATTTAGATTTCATTTTCTCATATGCTAAATGAGGTTATTTTAGAATTATATGGACTATAATAGTTGAAGTTGGTAATGTTATTGAGCAGTTTGGGTTGATGGCTGAACTCTTAAATAATAACTATCAAATTTTATAAAGAATCAAAACGTAAAACTAAGACTTTTCAACTAAATTTAAGAAAAAATGTGAATGTTATGTAATAATGCGCTAAACTATTTGTGTTCAATTTAAAACCCACATCAGTTGTAAATAATAAGTTTGGTGCACTACATCACTTTATGCCATCTTTTTCTACTAGATAGAAAAACTTCTAGACCAGCATTTGATTTTAGTTAAGAAAAATCAAAGAAAAACTTTTCGAGGTGAGACAAAATGGCGGTTATTCATAAAACATATTCAATTTTATAAATTTCCTGAAAACTAATGTTCTTGTCTTATTACAATCTTCAAAAACAATATGTGTGCATTCATTTCACTAACCAGCCTCAACCCATAGCTGCGCTTTATCTCCTTAACCTATAATAGTTTCTTACTTCTCCCAAAATCTCTCTGTCTTCCAATAAAAAATTCATTTACTCATGTCTTTATATTTCCATATATTATTTCAACAAACACTATACAAATGCGAATATAAATAAATAATTCAGCGACAGAGACGAGAATTTTCTGCTGAAAGAACAAAAAAAATGTCACAAAAAATTTCTTTCTTCCTTTTTCCCGCTCAGCAAGTCGTCGTCTTTATGGCAATGACAGTAATAATGACAATTATTATCATCTTTTTTGTATGAAAATGAGACACAAAAGAATTCTGTGTTTTTGAAAGTCTTCTGTGCCTGAAAAAGCAACTGCTGATGTCCAGCGTAAGACGATGTTGATTGAAATGTTTTTCCAATAAATTGATAATTGATAGCCAAACAAAAACACATGCTTGGTCATAAATTATTTTCATTCATGGACTTAGATTAACGATGCCAATTTTTTCTTTCTTACTCGAGAGAATTTTTTTTCTTTATTTTCTTGTTTCGTTCATGTTTGTGTCTCGATGTCTACTTCTTGTTGTTCTTTGTGTTTATTTTGGAGATTTTCAGAATGGGGTGGTTAAATTATTTGAAAAAAAGAATGTTTTGTTTGAGATGTTAACTTAATTAGGTGATTTGATGTTTTAGTTCTGTTTCGAAGTGTTCTTGGATATCATTTTGTTGTGGTTTAAACTAAAATCTATATTTGGATCTTACAAAGAGAAATTGTTATTTTAATCTCTGAATTTCTCTTCTTAGATTATTCATATCTTACTGCTCTTGGGCTTGTATCGTTCTTCTTAGGTTAGCCTTGGCTTGTTCTTCTTAAGTTAGCCTTGACTTACTCTTCTTAGGTTGGCCTTGATTTGCTCTTCTTGAATAGCCTTGACTTGTTCTTCCTAGATTAGCCTTGACTTACTCTTCTTAGATAAGCCTTGACTTGCACTTCTTAGGTTAGCCTTGATTTGTTTTCTTAGGTTAGCCTTGACTTGATCTTCTTAGGTTATCCTTGATTTGCTCTTCTTTGGTTAGCCTTGATTTGCTCTTCTTAGGTTAGCCTTGACTTGTTCTTCTTAGGTTAGCCTTGACTTACTCTTCTTAGATAAGCCTTGACTTGTACTTCTTATGTTAGCCTTGATTTGCTCTTCTTAGGTTAGCCTTGACTTGCTCTCCTTAGGTTAGCCTCGAATTGCTCTTTTTAGGTTAGCCTTGACTTGTACTTCTTAAGTTAGCCTTGACTGTTTCTTTTTAGGTTAGCATCGACTTGGTCTTCTTAAGTTAGCCTCGACTTGTTCTTCTTAGGGAAGCCTTGAGTTGCTCTGCTTAAATTAGCCTTGACTTACTCTTCTTAGGGTAATACTAGCTTATTTAACCGAAATTGTCACTAAAAACTCGATCAAAATATTATCAATTCACCTCTGGATTCAAAATCTCCCCAAAAACAATACGATATAATCTCACATATAATATCATCACAATTCATGATTAAGCGAGAGCTCGCATGATTTCATTTCTCATTTACAATCATTTCTTTTATGTCAAACT